CCGAGATAGCTAGCTGGTTGTACAGAAAATCACAAACACGAGATAGACTCAATTTTCAGTAGGTGCAAATATGTAGTAAAAAACTAGAAATATAAAAAGTATCATCCAAATTGTCATCCAAACTGCGGTAACAATAGCAAATCGTGAAGATAAAATTTATCAAAAAATTTAAATGATATTTTAATTTATTTGATTTTAGTATGGTTATCATGCAATTACCATTATCGTACCTTAGCGGTAACCTACCACGTAATAAATTTGTTCATTTTTTTGACGTATCAGTTTTAGTTGAACCTATCGTGGGTGACTAAGCCACGTAAAGGTCGGGTGCGGCAGATCGAGGTTATTCAAGTTAGATCAGAGCTGGTGACGTTCGATTGAAGGTCAATTTAATTTGGAGCAAAGATTAGGTGAAATTATAGAGCTCTACACCATTAAACTTTTGATGCCATTAGACGCACTAGAACGGGATTGGTCATCTCTAACGGGCTTAAAGCATCATCTCTTTCGGGCAGGGCCCCCGTCACTAAGCAAAGGTCAGTGATGTGAGAAAATATCTCAATCGGGCATCCGGCCGTCACGGATGACACATCTCAATCGGGCCAACACAAAGCCTGTCACGGATGACTCTCATCTCTGACGGGCCTAGATTATAGCACGTTACGGATGACTCTTATCTCTAACGGGCCTAGATTATAGCCCGTCACGGATGACTCTCATCTCTAACGGGCCTAGATTATAGCACGTCACGGATGACTCTTATCTCTAACGGGCCTAGATTATAGCCCGTCACGGATGACTCTCATCTCTAACGGGCCTAGATTATAGCCCATCACAGATGAGTATAATCCACAAAAAAAATAAATTTTATTTTTTTGCTTAGCCTTGTTGTGCCTTCCCGGTCAGTCACCCATCCAAACCTCACTTGTGTGCCTTCCCGATAGGTCACCCATCCGAGATAGCTAGCTGGTTGTACAGAAAATCACAAACACGAGATAGACTCAATTTTCAGTAGGTGCAAATATGTAGTAAAAAACTAGAAATATAAAAAGTATCATCCAAATTGTCATCCAAACTGCGGTAACAATAGCAAATCGTGAAGATAAAATTTATCAAAAAATTTAAATGATATTTTAATTTATTTGATTTTAGTATGGTTATCATGCAATTACCATTATCGTACCTTAGCGGTAACCTACCACGTAATAAATTTGTTCATTTTTTTGACGTATCAGTTTTAGTTGAACCTATCGTGGGTGACTAAGCCACGTAAAGGTCGGGTGCGGCAGATCGAGGTTATTCAAGTTAGATCAGAGCTGGTGACGTTCGATTGAAGGTCAATTTAATTTGGAGCAAAGATTAGGTGAAATTATAGAGCTCTACACCATTAAACTTTTGATGCCATTAGACGTGCTAGAACGAGATTGGTCATCTCTAACGGGCTTAAAGCATCATCTCTTTCGGGCAGGGCCCCCGTCACTAAGCAAAGGTCAGTGATGTGAGAAAATATCTCAATCGGGCATCCGGCCGTCACGGATGACACATCTCAATCGGGCCAACACAAAGCCTGTCACGGATGACTCTCATCTCTGACGGGCCTAGATTATAGCACGTTACGGATGACTCTTATCTCTAACGGGCCTAGATTATAGCCCGTCACGGATGACTCTCATCTCTAACGGGCCTAGATTATAGCACGTCACGGATGACTCTTATCTCTAACGGGCCTAGATTATAGCCCGTCACGGATGACTCTCATCTCTAACGGGCCTAGATTATAGCCCATCACAGATGAGTATAATCCACAAAAAAAATAAATTTTGTTTTTTTGCTTAGCCTTGTTGTGCCTTCCCGGTCAGTCACCCATCCAAATCTCACTTGTGTGCCTTCCCGATAGGTCACCCATCCGAGATAGCTAGCTGGTTGTACAGAAAATCACAAACACGAGATAGACTCAATTTTCAGTAGGTGCAAATATGTAGTAAAAAACTAGAAATATAAAAAGTATCATCCAAATTGTCATCCAAACTGCGGTAACAATAGCAAATCGTGAAGATAAAATTTATCAAAAAATTTAAATGATTTTTTAATTTATTTGATTTTAATATGGTTATCATGCAATTACCATTATCGTACCTTAGCGGTAACCTACCACGTAATAAATTTGTTCATTTTTTTGACGTATCAGTTTTAGTTGAATCTATCGTGGGTGACTAAGCCACGTAAAGGTCGGGTGCGGCAGATCGAGGTTTTTCAAGTTAGATCAGAGCTGGTGACGTTCGATTGAAGGTCAATTTAATTTGGAGCAAGGATTAGGTGAAATTATAGAGCTCTACACCATTAAACTTTTGATGCCATTAGACGCACTAGAACGGGATTGGTCATCTCTAACGGGCTTAAAGCATCATCTCTTTCGGGCAGGGCCCCCATCACTAAGCAAAGGTCAGTGATGTGAGAAAATATCTCAATCGAGCATCCGGCCGTCACGGATGACACATCTGAATCGGGCCAACACAAAAGCCCGTCACGGATGACTCATCTCTAACGGGCCTAGATTATAGCACGTCACGGATGACTCTTATCTCTAACGGGCCTAGATTATTGCCCGTCACGGATGACTCTCATCTCTAACAGGCCTAGATTATAGCCCGTCACCGATGACTCTCATCTCTGACGGGCTCGGTGTCTAGGCCCAATTGAGATATGCGAGGTCATATTAATCGGGCTTAAATCTTTGCCCGTCACAGATGAGTGTTATCAGTGACGGGCTATATGTACTTGGGCGGCCTAGAGTGAGTACATCTACAACAGTGAAAATTTAAGCCCGATTAAGATGACTTCGTTCTGACGGTCCAAGTAGTATAGGCATAATTGAGCCCATCACAGATGATAGGATCTGTACTAGTGACGTGGTCCACATCCACTTATTGTTGTAGTGTTGAGAGACGCTCTCCTCAGTGGGTGAACCTCCAGCTGCAGTCCGAATGGCTCAAGATACTGCGTCCATTTATGAGTCCTCCATCCTACCGTAACACAAGATAACTAGATTGTGTAGGGTGAAAGAAAATAAGAAAAATCCAGCAGGCATCATCTTTCCTCTCTGTTCGCTCGATTACACCAAAACATGTGTCGCTAAAAATACTCACCTGTTGCAACGCACGGGCATTCTTTATAGTAGATATAATGTTACAGTGAACTGAAATACTCCATTCCAACAAAAAATACAAATATTTTGGAAACCCCTATTAAGGGAATTCGTTTTATTTTTTGTTCCACCGAAAAATGTTTTACTATGTATGAATTAAATGTTGCAGTAAACTAAAACATTCTTTTGCTATTTGCTGAAACATTGTTTTTTATAAGGTGAAACAACACCCGATTTAAATGAGTGAAACAGTTAGTCATCGTGAAAGAAATAGTTTACAGAGCTTTCGAATGCAGAGCTTTTAAAGCTAACCGATAAGTCTGCATCATGCAAAAACAGCATGATTAACAGAACAGAGGTTTATTGAGCAAATCCTAAGCAGTGTCAGAGTACAGATGTGGGTATGTAGCGTTCACCAAAACTATAACGTTGCGACTTATGCGTGATGATGCGAAGCTCGTCGTCGTGGCCGCGCACCACCTCGACGCCGGTGAGCACGGCGAAATTCCTTTCATCCGACTCGAAATCGCAGCAGTATTCGGTGCAGGTCCCCCGGCGAGAGACCGTGTACAGCTTGGCGACGCACAGCTTGCTGTCGCCGATGTGCACGACGTGCGACGAGTACACCTCGGTGTATTCGCCGAGGTCGACGGCGTGCGACGGGCGCGCCCTGCGACGCGACGGCCCCGGCACGGCGAAGTCCCTGCACCCGGGGTGCGCCGGCGGTGGCGGCTCCGGCTGCTGGACGGTGGAGGAGGAGAACAGGTCCCACGCGCCGAGGACGTCGTCGTCCGCGGCGGAGAAGCCGAAGCAGAGGCCATGCTCGGGGACGTACTCGGCGCGGTCGCTGAAGGGCAGCGTCCAGTCGCCGTCCTTGCTCCAGGTGGCGCGCGCCGTGTCGAAGGAGTAGGTGCCGTGCCTCCTCGACGACAGCAGGATGCGCGAGCCGCCGACCGCCGCGTACGCGCAGGTGTCGCCGACGGCGTTCTCGTAGCCGGCGGCGTGCACGTACGGCGGCGGCGGCATGGCGCGCCAGAGGCAACCGTCCTCTGCCTCCTTCTTGCAACGGACGAGCGCCTCGAAAGAACGGTCGGTGACGCCGTCGGGGCGAGGTGACACCGCCATGACGTACAGATCCTTGCCGACGGCGAGCGACAGCGTCCGGAACTTGGGCGTGACCATGGCGGGCAACGCGCCGACGCTGTGCTTGGCGGGGTCGTAGACGATCGTGCGGCCAGCATGGTCGACGGCGATGATCTTGTCGTCGTTCCTGCGCATGATCTTCATCCACGTGAGGTTGTCCGTCTCCGAATCGCTACCGGGGGGGAAAGAAGTTCATGTCGGCTGGAGACAGGCGGACGTCCTCCACGGCCGCCGCCGCCGCCGCCGCCGCCGGGTCTGCGTAGAAGAGACTTGATGGGTCGATTCGGCGTAGCCTCTGGAAGGAGGGGTCTACAGCCCGGAAATCAACCATGTAGAGGAATCGCCGGTTCTTCGTCTTCCCAAATCGCTTCTTCGCTTTCTTTTTTTCCAAGATGCCGGAGCGATTATTGGGAATTGTTCCCAATCTGCTAATGGGGTTAGCATTTGCGAACGAGGAGTAGATGCGGTCGGCGAGCGCGGCGGCGCGGCGGCAGCTGCTGCCGCGGAAGGGCAGCGCCCAATCGCCGCCGGCATCTTGGAGCCCAGGACAGCGATGATCCGGCGACAACTTCGACAGATCACACGGCCCTATCTCCCGCAGGCTACGCCGCATCAACCCATCACATCTCTTCTACCCCAATGATGCACTGCCCGTGCCCTAATCGTCGGCGGCGGTGGAGGACGTCCCGCTGCCTCCGACAGAGGTGACCTTCTGCGGGTCGACGGAGTTCATGCGCAGGAGCGACGACAAGATCGTCGGCGGCGCCATCCTCTACGACCCCGCCGAGCACGCCGTCCGCGTCTTGCCCTCCATGGTGGAGTACAAGTTCTGGACCCAGTCGTTCGCCGTCGGCGACGATCTCTACGTCATGGAGACCGGACAACGCGCGCGTCTTGGTGTCCACCCACAGCTACGGCGCATACTCGTTCGACACGGCGAGCGCCGCGTGGAGAAGGCCGGCGACTGGGCGCTGCCCTTCCGCGGCCGCGCCGAGTACGTCCCCGAGCACGGCCTCTGGTTCGGCCTCTCCGCGGCGGACGACGGCGTGCTCGGCGCGTGGGACCTGTCCGCTTCCACCGTCGCACAGCCGCAGCCGCCGCCGGCGGCGCAACCCGGGTGCGGGGTCTTCGAGGTGCCGGAGCCGGAGGCGCCGTACGGCACGAACGTCGTGCACCTCGGCGGCGGCAAGCTGTGCGTCGCCAAGCTGTACATGGTCGCGCGCCCGGGGACCTGCAGCTGTCCTTGCTGCGTCGGCGAGGAGGACATGATGAAATTTGCCATGCTCACCGGCGTCGAGGTGGCGCGCGGCGGCCGTGGCGGGGAGCTCAGCATCGTCAAGCACAAGTCGTGCCGTTACAGCTTCGGTGAACACCACATCCCCTGTTATGTACTCTAATACTAGTAGGTAATCCTACTTAGGGTAGGGTGTGTTTTAGAGGAGATGAAAAAAAAAAGATACGCAAAATGAGTGAACTATTAGCACATAATTAATTGAGAATAAACTATTTTAGATTTTAAAAATAAATTAATATGATCTTTTAAAGTAACTTTTCTATAAAAAATTTTTATAAAACACACACTGTTTAATAGTTCTGGAAACGTACGCACCGAGAACAAGAGCGTCTAATCCTGCTGTTTTTATACGACACAGTTTAATTTATCGGTTAGCTCTAAGAACTCTGTATTGCAAAGCTCTGTAAACTCCTTTGACAGACATGAATGATTTGAAGGATGCAATTCTTTTGTGAAGCACCTGAAAGATAAAAACATTTATAACCTGAAATACTCATCAGAAGAGAACGTTCAATGTGCCAAAAACGTATACTGGTGGAAACAAATGGCAGTCACCATTCCAGATAAGCAGCATGTGATTTTCTGCCACTCGAGGAGATGACGTTCGTATGTTGTCTAAAAGTCATTAAAAATTACAATTTCTTTTACGAGATAGATCAATATAAAGACAAACACGTAAATTTAAATTTTACCTATATAAATACGAATAAATACAACAAATTTGATTGCAAATATTATACACAAAGAGGAGTATGCTTGTTGATTTGGCCCTCTCTCGTACTTTTGGGCTAGCTTATTAAGAAACACAATTCTTAATGTGTTGGGCTAGCTAATTAAGAAACACAATTCTTAATGTAAAAACAACACTAAATAAATACTAGGGACTATCTGTAAAACTTGGTAAGTTCTTTTAGTGGAAAACTTGGTAAAACTGTGGTAAGTTCTTTTAGTAGAAAACTTTCAGATCTAATTATAATATACTACCTACATATTTTAATGTATGACGCCATTAATTTTTTGTCCAACGTTTTACCATTCGTCTTATTTAAAAAATTTATGTAATTATCATTTATTTTATTATGACTTGATTCGTCATTAAATGTTCTTTAAGCATGACATAAATATTTTCATATTTGCACAAAAATTTTGAATAAAATGAATTGTCAAACGTTGATCGAAAAGTCAACGGCGTCGTATATTAAAATACGGAGAGAGTAGTTATTATATAATTTCGTTGTAACTATTCTATAACTATAATATACTAATTTATATAAGTATTAAAAAAAGAAATTGCTATAGCAGCTTGTTTAACAACTTGAGGAAAAATAATAGGGAGTTAGATGAGTGAATTGATGATGAAATTAATATGAAAATTTTATTTTTAGTCCCAAACTCTTGTTTGGTAGAGATGGTTGGAACTAATAGGGATTTTAGTTGGAGATTAAATCTTAAATAAAAAATAAATGGTTGAGATTTTGTTTAGACAAAATAAAGGAGGAATTTCCTCCCAATTACCACCCCTCCTATTAGAAAGGAGTTTTTCCAACAATTCTCCATCCCTATTCCACCATAACTCTCATATCTTCTAATCAAACGAAGCAGTCTTATCCCTCTAAAATTTCAATTCTTTTTAAAAACTTCCCCCAAAGGAAAAACTTGTACCCCAAGTGGGACCCACAACAGGAGCAAACGGGGTCAACGTTCACGTACTGCGCACGGACGGACTCGTCTTCCTTCCCTCCGCGTCTCTCTCGGTTTTCGCCCTGTCCTGCCCCACCGCCGCCGCCGCCGCCGCCTGCCTCCGGACGAGCTCCACCGACGGCAACCCGGCCGGCTTTGCGACGACGACGACGATGATCCGGCGGTTCCTCTACATGGTCGACCTCTGCGGCGACAACTCGCTCACCCAGAGGCTACGCCGCATCGACACGTCACGTCTCTTCTACCCCAAGGATCAACTGCCCCGAGCGTCGCCGTCGTCGTCGGCGGCGGCGGCGGCGGTGGAGGACGCTCGCCTGCCTCCAGCCGCCATGGGCTTCAGCGCGTCGATGAACTTCATGCGCACGAGCGACGACAAGATCGTCACCGTCGACGACACCGGCCGCCGCGCCATCCTCTACGACCCCGCCGCGCACACCGTCCGCTCGTTGCCCCCCATGGCATCGCCCAAGTTCTTGACCGTGTCGCTCGCCGTCGCCGGCGACCTGTACGTCATGGTGACGCCACCTCATCCTGACAAGGTCGGCGGCGGCGAGGGACGGCGGCCGGAGTATTCGTTCGAGGCGCTCGTCCACCGTGAACGCCGTTCCGGGTGGATGACGAATGCGGACGAGGAGGCGCGCCACTGGCGCCCCATGCCGCCGCCTCCGTTCGTGCACGACGCCGCCGCCGGCGAGATCCACGGGTACGCGGCGATCGGCGACTCGCACATCCTGGTGTCCACCGACCGCGCCACCTACTCGTTCGACACGGCGAGCGCGGCGTGGAGCAAGGCCGGCGACTGGAGGCTGCCGTTCCGCGGCCGCGCCGAGCATGTCCCCGAGCACGGCCTCTGCGTCGGCTTCCTGGAGATGGACGACACCGTCCTCGCCGCGTGGGACGTGTCCGCGTCCCCACAGCCGCGGGCGCCGGCGGCGAGCGTGCAGTCGAAGGGGTTCTCGGTGGCGAGCCCCGGCGAGTGGAAGGGCTTGGCGGCGCCGCGGGAGGTCGCGTCGCACGTCGTGCACCTCGGCGGCGGCAAGCTGTGCGTCGCCAAGGTGTTCTGGGTCGTTCGCCGCGGGACGTGCAGCTACCCTTGCTGCGTCGGCGAGCACGACAAGATGAAATTCTCCATGCTCACCGGCGTCGAGGTGGCGCCCGGCGGCGGCCATGGCGGGAAGCCCCGCATCGTCAAGCACAAGTCGTGCCGTTATAGATTCGGTCAATACCACCCCACTCATGTACTCTAAAACTACCGCTCCCTCCGTTTCACAATGTAAGACTTTCTGGCATTACCCATATTCATATAGATGCTAATGAATCTATGTATATAATAATGTCTAGATTCATTAATATCTATATGAATGTGGGCAATGTTAAAAAGTCTTACATTGTGAAACGGAGGAAGTAGTAGATTATAATCCTACTTATTAGTGTTTTATTAAACTTTGATTTGGTTAATCCTTCACATTCTTCTAGCTGCACCATTCATCTCAACCTTAAAGATTTGAGGTGTTTTTCTTTAATGGTAGGTGAACCAATCTAGACAGTTTAGTTTTTTAAATTAATGGGTCATATCTATTTATACTACCGCATCAACTGCAGAGTAGAATGTTTTTTATATTAATAGTAGTACTCATAAATGAACGAAAAAGATCACTTCTAGTTCTACCACGGTAGTGAAATACTACTAGTAGAGAGTATCGTAAAGATACTCGAAAGGTTTTTGGGTAGTTTTGGATTGCTACCAAAATTTGCCCTACCAATATTTTGGTAGCCTAAATAGTACCCGCCATTTGTTTGGACTGATGCCAACATTTTGGTAATGCCCATCCTAAATTTGGTAGCAATCTAGAACTTTCTTCACTATGATATCACAATTTGGCTACATTTTGGTAGCAAACCAAATAAGATGAATACAAATTTATTCTACCAAATAATTGGTAGTGCCAAAACTTCCAAAAAATTGGTAGGGCACTGATCCAAACAAGCCTTTAGTCTGAAGTTTTGGGTCACCGGTATCTGAAAGACACTATGATGTCTTGATCATGCTGATCATTGCGTGTTTCCTTAAAGTTTCTAATCTGAAGTTCCTGAATCCTGATTGGTGGTTGCATAGATTTGGTAGGTCTCACTGCAGAAAGTGATCGTAGTTGATGCAAGCAGACAGAACACCCCCTTCATATAATTGGAAGTTGATAACTTTTCATGAATCTGACAGCTGAGCAACCCAAACATTGTTGTTTCGAATTTTATCGACACATTTCTGTTTGTGTCAAATAACAAACACTAGAATGGCATTATTGTCATTGTATATTGTCATATTAGTGGGCATTATTTCAGTAAAAGTTAAATCTGTACCTACTATTTTGGAAAATGATTATGAAAGTGATACTTATCATCTGTTACTCATCTTAATACAAACCTACACAAGCTTTTTGTGTATTCCCCCCAAAAGTTATATGTCACAGAAATTGAGTAAACGTATTTACCAGTGTTCATCGTGGTCTACCAGTCATATGTTTGTGAGTATGGAGGTGAAAATGACATTCATTTACATTCCATGCCAATGTTAAATAGCGTGCTGACCCTATGGTACTTCATATCTGCTTCGCTCTGCTCGGATGCTTTATTTTCTGTTCTTCAGTAATGCATTTGATGCAAAAAAAAAAGACTTTTTTTGGCCACAGGTTTTGTTTTGTTTAAGTTGGAGTCCTTTATCCTGAGAGTATCTCTATTTTGTTTAAGACGTGTTTATTAGTGAACCTGACATTGCTTCAGTTCAGATGCATGCATGGCAGGTTAATTAGCAGTTGGTGTCCTTTCTTGTACCTGAAACCCAAATTAAACCCTGGTGCGTGAATCTATGCAAGCCAAAATACAAATCTAAGTTAAATTAAGGTGTCAGAAAAGTATGTAATCAGAGGTTTAAGAGTAATCTGCCTTGGTCATTGGACAGTTTACTGCTGGAAACATGACACGTAATTGTTTTTTTTTTCTAGAAGCATGACTAGTTCGAAGATATGAGAAATCAGAGGTTTAAGAGTAATCTGCCTTGGTTATTGGACAGTTTTCTGGAAGTGGATTCTCAAGAGCCTAACTAAGCATGAGAAATATGAAACATTATCAAGTTTGACTGTCTGATAACTGATATTGACCCAATAACCCCCAAATTAGTTTGAAGATACAGAGGATTAATAAACAAACATAAGCAGAAAAGTGCATAATTGCCAATGATTAGTAGAAGTACTTCAGCAGCATAAAGAAAACTGAAAGAGACATTCTAAACCACTAAACACACCTTTTGTTTCAGAGTCAGGCACTGAAACTTTCAAGAGTAGTTTGTGATGCTACCTAAAGCTAGGACTAGAGGAGTCCTTTTCCAATCCATGAACTGTCTAATTTGGCTCTCAGCAATGATGAGATTGAGGCAAATCATGCATGGTAGTTGCTCTGATAAACTGACTAGAGTAGGTGTTGATTGCATCTCTTGGCCCTTTGCTCATCATTAGGCAGGGTGATGGAATCTTTCATCAGTTGGATCACACTTTGCATTCTCCAGGAGGCAGTCAGCTTTTTCACATGATATTGAAAGAACAACTTATTCAGAAAAGAAATCCAACGGCCGTGTACGAAACGTCAGGAATCTTTCACCAATTTCACACTTTAGCATTATTCTTTCTTTTCCTTGAACCAGATATAGTTTATTATGTCAATCTAGTTTTTGGAATATAATTTTGTCAATCTAATGAAGTTGAAGGAAGTAAATTCAAGCTGATTTAACTGCAGAAAGAAAGAAATGATTCCAATTTCAATGTGCACTATAGGTTATGCATACTGCTTTCTTCTAATGAAATAACGTGTAATCCTTTTGTGCGTTCGTGGGGAAAAATGCAATATAGGTTATGTGTTACAATGAAAGAACCCTCAGAAACTAGTGGTGTCCGTTTCCCTTAATTGCTTTAGTTTATTATGCTAAGAACATCAACATTAAGAACAGAGGCCTCAAACATTAAGAAAAGGGATCATATCAAACCATTGATTAGTACATTCAAACTAACTCAAGGAACAAACTTAGCTGCAACTAAACACTAATCTAAACACCTATATATTGTCAGTCTCCCCCCACATTGTTCTCTGCACCAAGCAATCTGATAAACACAAAAGCACTAACAATGGGAGAGCAAGGAGGCAGGGCAAGCAGCAACAAGATCAGGGACATTGTGAGGCTGCACCAGCTTCTCAAGAGGTGGAAGAGGGCTGCACTTGCACCAAAGGCCGGCAAGAACAACAATGGCGGCGGTGCATCGGTCCCGAAAGGGTTCTTCGCGGTGTGCGTCGGGGAGGAGATGAGGAGGTTTGTCATCCCCACAGAGTATCTTGGCCACTGGGCATTTGAGCAGCTACTCAGGAAGGCAGAGGAGGAGTTTGGGTTCCAGCATGAGGGAGCTCTGAGGATTCCATGTGATGTTGAGGTGTTTGAGGGTATCTTGAGGCTGGTTGGCAGGAAGGATGAGAAGGCAGCAATGTGCTACTCTTCTTCAGAGCATGAGATCTTGTGCAGATGATGGTATTTCTTAGTTTCTCCCCTTTGCACTCAATTGTTATTGCACTTTGTTGCTGTTGTTTTCTTGGTTCTTGGTCTTCTGAAGAGAAGAGGAGGAAGAGTTTGGAGTTGCTGAGCTTTGCTACTTTGTTCAAGAGGATGAGGTTATGAATTCACATTCTTTTTAGAGGAAAAAAAATCAAGGATTCACATTATCTAAAAAAAGTATCTTAGGTAAACTTATTCTTTGTTGATAATTCTTTACCCGCTTGTTCGATGTTATTCACTTTCATTTTGTATGTTCTGAAGTTGAACAGTGTTCATTTGTGCTATTTGAACTTGTGTCTCAAGGAAGTAATATTAATAGTTGTATTTTTTTTCTCTCTCTCAATATATATGTCATTGCACCTTGATGCTTTTTGTTTAAAATTAGCTTTCAATGACAAGATGACAACTCATCTCTGAATCCTCAAGTATGTGTTCAGATGTAGGAAGCTCTCACTGGTTCAATCCTGAATTCCTGATTAACAACACAATCATTCAATAGATCTGCAAGAATCATGGGGAAGTCAACCCTCTGAATTTTAGTGCCTCTCTTGCTAAATTGTTTCTTCTTGACACATGCTCTTTCTGAACTCACTAATCTCTATATTCTCTGGAGTTTTAATGTAACTTAGTATTGTCTCTCTTGTTGGATGCTTCACACATGTACTATGTCTACTAGTACCTTCGACTAATCCTCATTCCTCTCCATTAAGGAATGCCATGACATGTCCTTTAGTCCTAGACTATATTATTATTCAGAGTTAAATGAGAGTTCCAGAGAAGAAAGATGCCGTACAGTTACACATGGCAGGGGCACTAGATTAGGAACAATAATACATAGCATAAAATCTTTTTGCACATGTGCTCTGACAGATGCAACATTGAAATGCCTGGAACCAGAAGCCACAAAAATCATGCTAGTCTCATGCAAAGATCTACTCCTACCTTGTAATGCCCTCTTGTCAGATGCAATCTTTGAGAATGACATTGTATTTGAAGAATGATCACATTGTTAAAGTTAATCACCCACGCAAAAGAAAGTATTGAAGTTAACCACTGGTATGGTATATTGCGCCACCTGTTTCAGTTGTGCCAGCTGCAAGTACAAATCTTGTTGCAAACAGAAAAAAGAAGGAAATGGTAGGCCTCCTGCATTCTATTTTCTGAACAAACGTGGACATCATTCAGAACAGATTGAGGTGCCATCTGGAAAGAGCTAGACAGCTTCTATATCTTGCAGAACCTAACCTGAACATTAGCATTCTGGAAGTGCCATTTGTGGAGATGCTGTTCTTCTATCAGTAACCGGAGAAAAAAAGAGGGGAGATTTTTAAATGAAAACAATTACTACTTGCCTTGAAGTGTGATCATCCAGTCACATGCATACTTCATTCTAGGATCATCATTTCAGATGATCCACACATAATAATTATTAACTCAAATAAAATAATTGCTCATATGCATCGAACTGAGATATGCTGCAAGCCTGCAGGCAAGCTCAGCACAAAACCTTCATTGATGAAGCAGAACATCAATCCTCCAGTTCATTCATAATCAAGAATGAGAGGTTTATGATCAAATTAAAGCTTCTGATTAACCAGAGAGAGGATATATATAAGATCAGGATGCAACTCTTTTTTTTTTCCACCTTTCATGTCAGTTTCAGAGTCTTTTGCAGAATCAACAGTAATTTTTCATCGTTTCTAGTTTCTACCACTCTATCTACCGCTCCATCACACGCATCATCAAAGTACATGAACAATGGCGATTTCGATCGATCAGATCAGATCAGATCACCATGCTTGTGTTGTGTACATCGAGCCACATCGAATCAACCAAAGAATTCTTCCTCTGGAAATTTTCTCTCCTATGGCGGGCTAGTGGCTACAACGACCTGGCCTTGACCATGGTGCTCATGATCGCGCCGCCGCTCGCCGGGCGGCGGCGCGCGTCGAGCGCGGCGACGGTGGCCTGGAAGTCCTCCTCGCGGCAGGGGAGGCGGAGGCCGCCCTCCTGGGCGAAGCCGAACTCGTCGGCGGCGAGCTCCATGAGGCCCCGGAACGCCGGCTGCCGGAGGTAGCTCGTCGGCACCACGAACCGCCTCGCCTCCGCGCCCACGTACACCGCGAAGTACCCCTTCGGCACCGCCGCCTCCTCGCCGCCGCCGCCGACGAGCAGCGCCGCCCGCACGCTCTCCCCCTCCGCCGCCGCCGCCGCCTTCCTCCTCGGCGCCCGGAAGTACCCCATCATCATCAAAGATCAAATCTTCTCTCCCAAGAACAGATTTTTCTCGCAAGAAAAGAATGATCTTCCGTAATCTTCGTGGTGATGGATCGATCGATCGAGGATGGGGGGATTCTTATACTAGTACGGCGATCGAGAATTCGAGGGCGGCAGATTTTGTTTTGTTTTGGTTTGGTTTGGTTTGTTCAGAATTGCAAAGCTGTAGCCTTTGTAGCATAGTGGCTGTTTTTATTTGGATACACGTCTGCATTTTTTTGACCATTCCTTCATATTAGGGGGTGTCCCACTGACATGTGGGCCCGGCTCCGTCGAGATGGCTGGTGGGGCCCACTTGTCAGTGGCCGATGAGGAAGGGGTGGTGTGTGTGCTTGGGTTTAATTAATTAGGTGATCTTCGCTAATTTAAGCTGGAGATTTGGAGCTATGTGGACTGTAATGATTTGGGTCTGTTTGTTTATTTAGTTTTTTATTTTGTTGAGGAATGAATGAATGTCAAATTAGCTGTAGTACTAGCTAAGCTAGGTGTTGTTCCAGCAGATTTGCTGGTTGAGTAACCCGCTTTTTCTGAAAAAGCATGGACCATGCTTGCCTTAAAGAGTCCATAAATAATTGCTCTGTTTAAAATTCACCTGCTAAGATTTTTTTTTAAAGGCCCAAGATTAGCACCGGCCTTTATAGTTCTATGCAAGTACACAGGTGAAACTAACCTTAGATATGATGTGCAAGGTTATGTGCTGTGAGCCTGTGATGTAAGCAATTAACTAGGCTAAAAACAAGACAACCAAACTCAACCTGAACTTTCACAATTAGCACATGGATTAAGACTAACTAGTTCCTAGTGCATGTATGAACGGATTTATCACTTCCCATTCACTTGTGTAATCCGACGAAAACTGCAATAAAAAAAATCGTGCCAGAGTTAATTTACCATTAATTAGCATAGAGCAAGAAGGGACCCCACACGGAAGAAGATCAAATATATAGTATTAGTAGTCCAAGAGAGAATTTGTGAGATAATATAAACAACATGAAATCTATCCGTGTTGTGAGTTGGCGACGACGTTGATGACAGAGTGGCCGGAAGAGGACGAAATGGTACGAAAGGAATATTAATATTAATATTAATATTAATTCTGTGCTCTGTTGTTTTTCTCCTTGGATAGAAGACGACGCCAGGTACGAAATCGTCACACGATGTACGGACGGCACAAGGAGAGGAGCATTAGGTGGTCACCCACTCTCCTGTTTCTTAATCCGGATTAATTAATGATTATTTTTCTTCTCTTTCTCTAAACACGATCTGGTAAGGTGGCTATTGTACTTGGTCGTCGTCTCGCCGTTTCTTGTTTAATCCGAAGGAAAAGGCTGTAGTATTATACGTGAAGTTTCTTAGAGAATTTTTATAAAACAATGATTTCGCAAATTATAAGTAAATCTAGATATTTTGAACTCTCGTTTAATTAAATCAAATAGATAAGAGTTTTGTTCATAAAAGTTTTGCAAACTTTTTTAAAAGAAAAGCATGTGTAGCAATCCACGAAACTTTATTTTCCACGGTACAAAGGTAGACGCTTACACACACTTATTCCTGTGAACGTAAATATGTACATCTATCTTTATTAACATCTTTATAAGATTGAGCCAAACAAAATTTGGCCGACATGTAGACATGACACGGCACGATCAAACCAAGAAGAAAATAAGGTTATCGATTTGTATGGATTAAATTATGTGTTTCGTACCATAGTTTGAACTTCTCAAACTATTCCTCTACCGTTGCACAAACAAAAGCAGGGAGAATGCGATGTTCCTTCCCAGCCGTTGGATCGGAACATGACAAATTGACAATAGGAGGAGATTTACATCTTGCAATTAAGAAGAGGCTGCACTCATACACTGGTTACAATACAATTGCAGACTTTTTAGTGTCCACAATTAATCAGTACATGTCTTGTCTTAGCAGCATGGCCCCTGGAGTGTCAACAGCCAGCGGCCTTGAGGAAGGTGTCGTAAGGGCTTGATGCTGGCAGCTTCAAGAATTGCTGCTGGAACACATCATCAGCTGCTACCTGTAGTGCCTCACCATCAGCAACATATTTGGGGTAGCCATCAAGGCTTTGCTGGAGAAAAGGGTTCGTATTCTGCAGCAATACAAGATGGTTTAAGAATTAGTAAAACTAATCTATGCGTCCCATTCCATGATACTTGTAGTTTTTGTTTCATTTCTCCCGATTCCAGACTGATATGCATTGGTAAAATGGGCAAAGAGGAAAAGATGATAGTATCAAGCAAATTGTTCTGAACTTAGGCACCTGGTCGTCAGAGGAAATATGGACTGCTCCCGTGTTGTCAGCTTGATTGATCGGCAGGACATTTGATTGGTTTTTGTGTTTGAAGCTCAGGAGCACGGACATCTTTTGCTGTTTCTCCATCGAAAGAACCTCGCATTGGTTAGTCATCTCCTTGAATGGGATGTTGGGGGCCGTTGACACCGAGCATCTTGCAGTCTGAGATGGTGCATCAGTGACAACCTGTAGAAAGCATGTACAGGTATAAGTTGATCATGTCAGTGTCAGACAGTTTTTGCCTTAGGTTTTGGTTCTTTACTTCAGCCACATGAAAGAGAGAAGCTAAAAATTCAGTACTTCTTCATGGTCTGACTATGCGATTTTTGGCTAAAATCACGCTAAAGTTCAATCAGTTAAATATATACTAGTACATAAGAGCAAAAAAGGAGGGGAGTGATAGATGGAAACAAGAAGAACGTACTGATTCTAGAAGCTCATCGATACCCAGAAGATTTGCTGTGGGCACAGATGCTGTAGTAGCTTCTGTATTTTCGTAGACTTCCCCAAAGGTGTCATTGTCATTTGCCATATTGATCAGCACATCCTGCTCATTTCCTAGTGGTCAGGATGGAAAAAGAAGAAGAACAAAAGAAAGATATAATACGTAGGATTCATATTACCTCTTGATTGCTAGAATCCTCATCACAACCTGGATTTCTGACAGTTAATTCAAAAAAGAGAGCACTTGTTGGACACATGTCATCAGGGGAGAAGTCACTTAGCAGTTGACTTCTTATAGTTTGTAATTCTGACTGCAGAGGTTGGAAATAATTGTCAGTAAAATTTGCATAGGGTTTGCTTCAAACAGATTTTCTATTCTGAAGCAAGATTCAAACAATATAAGAGATCCTTTGGAAGAAAATATGGAATGTTACATCTGGTAAATCTCTTATGTTGTTCATGATTGTAGAGGCCATGGATTCTCTGGATTGACTCTGAGTTAGTTCTACTGCTGAAAGAGACTTCAGTGCATTATTATCATCCTCTGGTGATCCATAGGTTTCTTCTGAGCAGTCCTTCACAGCCTGAAGTTTGGTGTCTTGTACTAAATGAAGGAATGGATCCATCTGCCAACAAAAGCAATACATAAAGTTTAGCTATTAAGTTTGTATGGTAAATAAAGAGGGCATATATCAAAGCAACAAACACCGTTAGAAAATCAACATGGAAAGATTTAAGTATGGTTGATGCCTCAATGGTACAATCCATGTAGGTATTACCAAATGCCTCCTCAAAATTGTCAATTGTTGAAAAAACAATTGTATTCTGTTATACCAGGCAAATTATACAAAAAGAAGAGCTGAAGAGATGAGACATTTTTATCAGACTTACTGTTCTTTCATTGAGCATTGATTTACAGATCGGGATAAGAGGTGCCACATTGAAAGCCCTTGAAAAGAACATAATCATAGATGTAGCCAGAGTAAACAAGGATCGACGGCGAGATGGCAGCAATGAATCTAAAAAGCAAGATTAAAATGGTTAGGTAATTATCAAGGAACTAACTCAGTCGTACTTTAGTAATAGCTAAGATATCATCCACTAGAGTTTCATCCTATGTGGGTAGTTAAGAACTTATATAGTATCAGTACTGAAGCTAGACAGTATGATTAACCACCTTACCTGTTCCTTCTAGTGAATAACTCATTAAGGAAAACGCCACCTGAAAACTTGGAGCAAGAGCCTCAAAGATTGATGCCTGGAAGAGCAAAAAGATAAAACATAAAAAAATATGATAAAACAGGGTAATGAAGCTAAGTATTAGATGTGGAAAGACCATTACAAATATTACAAATGAGTCTTGGATAGAGAATAACAGCAATATGGACAGGAATGAAGGATGTTACATGCAGCATGATAAATTTCTCATATATGATCATATAATCAAATTTACAGTTTTGTTGACTGGAAACATTTAAGAATATATGTAAGGTGGATAATACAACATAACAAGAAGTACCTTTGATCCCGAGAACAACAGAAGCAAACTGTAAGTATGAGCAATAGCTTCATAATTTTGAGGAGTATTTTTAGGAGAAATTGCTTGAGCCCAAATAGATGACAGCAAAAGTGTGGCCTGACGACTGCTTAGTCTCAACAAAGTTGATTCCTGAAAGTGCACAGAAGATAGTTAAATAGATGTTCCTTTTGCTCAAATGTTACTAGCTTGTTAAATATTGAAAACGAGATTGAGATCAGGTTCCACACGAGAATACCGTTTCACTACATGATTCGGCCGAGGTATTTTGGCATTCCTTTGGGGACATGGGAGATTTCAGAGACAATGAAGCAACCCTTTTCATAGAAAAATTAGGAACTTTGAAGCTGTGCCTTCGACTTCGCGAGCTTGGCATGTCCTTGACTGTAGAAGTATCATTGTCAGCAGCATGCGAAAGTCTGTTCATGCTTCCATCCTGTGGTTTTTCTCTGAAGGACTCTTTGTCCCTTTTTAATTTATCAAACAAAGCAGCTGAAGACGAGAAGACGGAGACAGCTCTTGAGAGAGTCCTCTTAATATCATGCTTCACAAGCTGATTTGGAGATGTTGATTTAGAGAAGGGAGAAACAGAAGACGGGACAAGGACAACAGAAAATATGCGGTGTGCAGAAACACGAGTTTCATGATCAGGGTGAACCATTGCTAAGAGTAACTGATGAAAGAGTGCTTCTGGAAATACCTGAAAAATATGATGGAGAGTGAGCTTCCAAACAAATACAAGTGTTGCTGGATAATATAAATTCAAATTTAATATTTGTGTTTCCACAACATACCTTATTCCTATATGACAAATTCGGGATAGAAGTAATTATCTGGGCTGTACGATAAACGGCAGATGTGGTTGCTATAGCAACAAGGGGAGTGCGGGAGATGTTCTCTAGCATCACAGACATCATGTCAAGAACAGGTCCAGCATCACCAACCTGTGTAATAATACCAACATAGTAAGGCGTATGTTCCTACCATTATAATCCAATAAC